CGATTCAGGATCAGAAAGTTCAGTAACGAATGGACTTCCGATGTTGCACAACCATCAGTACGGCTACCCGATGATGCCGCACATAAACATGAGCCTTGTTTAGTCCTATCACGGTGATCTGCGTGGAGTCACGGCTGAATGACATCGGCCCTGCGAACAGCAGACTTAGGAAGGTGAATCTGCTGACCGTTGTCCCATGAGATGATACAGCACTGATCACCCATCAACTGAAATATTACCAGTTAATCATGTAAAAGATTCTGCTATATTTAGTCTCGTTGAGCCCAGCCATGCTCGAACCATACGGTGCTGACAAGTTGCTGCCCCACAGTGCTTTTCTTACGGGATAGGGAGGGAAACCTTACTACTTCACATCGACATGGAGAATTATAAAGTCTTGCGGATCTATGTCATGACGAATAAGCATGAGGCTACTTCTTTGGAACCTGTGGACCAGCTTTTCACTCCCATTATCAAGTATTGGAGATAAAATTAGTGAAATACCAGGCAATCTGGTACTGACTAACCACAATATAGGTTTGGCTGACGTTTTGGGGAAAGGTTTTCGAAACTGGGGCACATTCGAAGCGAACCCGTCTCTCTCTTGACACAACTTCATAAACTCTCGTGCGTTCAGTGAAAACCTATCAGACTTCTTCGACGAGGTCGGTGGTGTGCAATATTACGAGGGTAAAAGAATTGTCTTTTACAAATTTGACGGCGGAGTCGCTCTTCTAATGGATCGACACTTTCAAATTCACTCTGCGAATTTGAATAGGTGTTGAATGCACGGCACATCAAAAAATTAGTGATAAAATCGCTATCTCTGGGCATACACTGCTGCGACATTGAATGTGTTCTACTTGAGGTCGGCGAATACCTTTTTTCTGTAGTATAAGGCGCATTTCATAAAGTCACATGCGACAGCGCGCAAAAAGTTGGTGGAAGAAAACAACAGTTTTTCCTTCTTCTTTTTCCACTTGGCTCCTTCCTGATTTTCCACTTGACTTTCAGACGCGAAGGTGCGCCTTATGCATGGGTGCGGCTTATACTCCACTACGTAGAGTAATATATCGCCGTTGTTTGGCTCGAGATGGCATTTTTTTTTACACTTGCGCGTTCCTTTTGTAAGTACATGTTGATTGAGGACCCTCACTCTGGAAAGGCTTGCAAACTCTTGTGAGGCTGCGAGGTTGCTCGAGGAGCCACTTTGGTAACAGAATCTTACTGGTTTTCGCAATGTGGCCTGTGCGAGTCATATCACTTGCTTTCTCTGTAGGGCACATCATCAGTTGGGGATTTTGGTCGAGTCCGTACGACTCCTCTCCCCCATTTTGAAGGGTTGGCACGACCCCCCTGGTTCCCTCCTGGGGGAATTGCGACCTCCTCTCTACAATTATCTTTAATTTCCCCGCACCTAATATCACTTTTTCTAGGATGTCCTGGAAAATTTTCCTACTTTTATACGGGGGGAGGGTGATACAGAACACATAAAACAGGAAAATCCACGAAAAGCCAGCGACCTCGCTCAGACGGTCAAAAGAAAAAGACCCCTTCTAAACAATGAGCAAATACGCCCCGCCCCCTTTAAGCGTCCCTGAAACGCAGAAACAACACCAAAGGGCGTTTTTTTCAGCCGCAAATACGAACCTCACCCCCCCCTGTTGAGAATCTCCCAACAAGATGTCTCTGTTCTGCTGGTGCTTCTTATCAATTCATTCACATCCTCCTTTCTCTATTTTCTCGGTTTTGAGAGTACTCGAGTAAGCATTTTCACCGATTACTCGTGTCTCATGTACAACATGAAAGTAGGAAAAATGTCGTTGCGGATTATAAGATCTCTGCCTCAACCGGGGCCTCTACCATACGACCTTTTTCCCCCACCCAGACGTACAAATTGTGTAGATTCAATTTGTATGCCTGGGTGGGGAAAGCACAAATACAAGTACAAAATGGAAACCAAATTATTCACTTCTCTGACCTCTCCCCTCTAGAATTCATAAAATAACGGCTTTGTTGCTTATCAGTGGCATTAACAAACCGTTGAAATTGCCAAATCAAATAAAGATATTTTGAAACTACCATCCACAAACTCTTGAAGAAGCTTGGTGATTTGGGCCCAGTGCAGCCCTGGACTGCTTTGTAACGTTCTGTCGTCCAAATATGAAGGATGAGCTTTATGGGATCACAAAACAACTGCGCAATATTTTTGCTTCTATCCGTAAACTTTCCCTAGCTGAAAAATATCTAATTTTCCTGGGCTGTGAACCTTGGTAGGAAACAATTTTTCAGGAATGACTCTATAGAAAATGGAAGCACCTGTGTGATTTCTCCCCTCATGAGGAGCATGTGATGTCTCATTGGTTCCCAATCCTCGTACTTGATATCAAACAGGTACGAACACTTTGGATCTTGATATTCTTCGCAACCAATGCATCTAGCCAAGGTGTGGTTGTTCCTGAAAATACAAAGTTGAGGTCGACCTTGTGTATTGTGAGTCAAACTGCCCACTATCTTGCGCAGTCCTAAGTCCTGGCCTGAGCCGAGGTCGAATTAGTACCGCGGCTTTATTAACGTACCAAACGTTCTCGAACGTGATGGTTGGACGGGCTGGAGGCGATCGAATAACTCTCCTGATTTTTGCCGTGCTGACCGCACGGCCCAAGCCGAGCAAGCACGCTGCTTGGTCGCCACTCCTCACGATTTTGGACGTTCTTCACCTTGAAGTGAGTGTCTAGCTGCGGAATTTGTTGGTTTCGATACGCAAAAGCTGCACGTTGAGGATAGCACGAAGGAGAATGGAGACGGCATTCCGGGTGTCGCTACCCTCCGGCCCTATTCCTGTGCACTTTTGAGCGAAAAATGCACGGACCTGTTTGCTTTGTACAGGGCAAGGAGCACAGGGCAACCGAAGGTGAGTGTACAATTCGTCTCTAAGCGCTAAGCACTCACCTATCGTAGATAAATGGCAGTGTCAGCGAGTCATCAACCATGTACCTGAAAGACGAGCGCAAAGTTCTGAAATTCCAACAGAGATGAGGTGAATCTTGGCAGGGTGCGGAGAAGATAACTTTTTGGTGAATCCCTGCTACACCACAATCAAAATTCGAAGGAGAGGAATTACTTTTTGGGTTCTTTGGGGATAGATCAGGCCGGTTACCGTGTCAAATGCAATCAAGCGGTTACAGGTGTTCAAAAAGATCCAGCTTAGGGTATTGGTCACAAAGACACAACCCAGGTTGACCGCATGGGTGAAGAATGGTCTGAGAAAGCATGTGAATGTACCTTCAGAATTTTATCGTTCAACCTCTCTAGCACCTTAGAATAAAGGGTCCGCCAAACGATTGTATCCCATAGGTTTTGAGACTAACCTCACAAAAGGCCGCCAAGTAGAGACCAACAGCGTCTCTTTTCCATTGCACTTCATCGCCAACGTTCAATATTTGAGGAGAACATAGCTCGACGAGTCCAGATATGTTGTAGAACTGAAAGATGCTTTATTGAGTACGGCCGGTTACATTCAAGAGGTATAGTTTTAGGTGGATGTTGTCCATTTGATTGGGTGGGCGGAGCCGAGCCTAATTAGGTGTCCGGAAAGTTCTCAGCGTTTTGAGTGTTTCACTTTAAACGATCATAACTTTCTTAATACTCATCGGATTAATCGAAATAAGCACCGTTCGAATCAGCACACTTTTGCCAATGTGACACCAGTCAATAAACCCATCAAAGAGAAAACTGGGGTGTTTTTTCGTGAGGATTCGCTTTGGAAATTGCCTCGGTGGTTCGTCGGCATCCAACCACTGTCCGGAACGTCTCCTGTTATCATACATGACCCATTTTTCATCACAGGTGACAATTCGGTCCAAAAACAGGTCGTTTCTGCTGCGCAAAAGCAATGCAGAAGGAACCTCGAGACGTGCCGATTCCTGCCGGTCACTCCGATTGTGGGGCACCCAATTGTCGAGTTTTTCACCTTCCCAATGCGTTCCAGACCATCTGCAACAGTGGATTTGCCAACGCCTAGCTTTTCTGCAATCTCTCGAACTGTTTGGGATGGGTCAAGCCCTTCAAAAAGTCATTCGTCAGATATTGCTTTAGGTCGATCGCTACTAGGTTCATCTTCAAGGCTGAAATGTCCAGAACGAAATATGTCGAACCATTGTCGCACGGTGCTTTCTCCACCACTATTGGGCCCCCACACCTGGTTAATTTGTCGAGCTATCCGACTGCGGATTGACCAATTTGTACGCTGTAAAAAAAATATTAGTTCGACAGTTGCTCTTTCACATGCCCTTCACAAAGCTCTGCGGAAAGGGGTCACCACAGCAATGTTGAACGCAATTATAACCATCAGATAGCGCAAAAAATTTCTCTTCAGGATGTACTGAGACGCAAGGGAGAATGAGTTTTTAATCAGCAATGAATGTACAAAAAATAGTAACACAAAACGCTGAGAACTTTCCGGACAACCTAATATTATGTCTTCTTGGTTCGCTCTGAACGTGAAAAGATGAGGATGAGGAATGCGATAATAATGGCAGCACAATTGTAGTTCCATCTCCTCTCATACTACAGGAGCATTATATGCTCCCAAAGAGGGTCCTTATTTTTCACATTCAGAGCGGTGTGAGCGATCAGAAAGGTGCTGTGGTCACTAAAAGGTGGGTAAACAACTCTAATGGCTCAGGAGAGAATCCGCCCACGTTGTAGTGATCACTGACTTTAAGAACTACACGACACTAGAAACACTACACGGTTAAAACTGAGAAGGCAGCGGTATCATCCCATTGTCAGAAAGGTGACGTAAGCTTCGCAAGAGTAACTCCGAGGGGCTGAGAGGCAGGTGGCTATGATATTCCATACATGCTTTCTGCTCGAAGGAGGATAAGGAGGCTTACACACCCGATTCGAAGCTTCGAAGAGACTTGGCGACGTTACAGCCAAGAGAGACATAACCATGGAGCCATCTGGCAATCCCAAATGACCTTTGCCTCCGTAACTGAATGAATTCACGCCAAACAGGGCACGTCCTGCAGTTGGGGAAGGATGAAGAACACGTCCTTCTCCTCTGCCAAAGTAGCGACTATTTACGTTGATTCCCCAAGTTCTCACCACCTTTCGGAGTTTTGTTCTAGTGACTCCTCAGTTTTTCCCTAGAAGTAACTTTC